GGGGGGGGATTCCCCCTCACCGTTTGGTTTGGCACCGGACTCGGTGCAGCGCGCGCCCGAATGCTGTCAGGACAGAGGGGGGCGTGGTGCGGCAACGCAGACAAGCGCAGAGCGCTGCCGGCCGGCCGGGGAAGACCTTTCACTAGCGCTGCCGGAATTCGAGAACACTATAACGCTGCCAAAGGCATTTTCACGTCATCCATCCCCTTCTTTCCTCCCCAGTCCTCGCTCAGGGGTCGTTCCAATACCACGTGACTTTTAGACGGGGGGTGGGGGATACAAAAATATTATGGGTTTCCAAAAGGATCAGGACCATCATTGAAGTCAGTAAGACCCCATAATATTTGTACCCCAGGGGACAAATATCATAGGGTCCCGCCCCATTGACTCCAATGCTGTTCCTCCTTGTGCTTTTGGGACCCCATACAGTTTGTACTACCCCCTTTAAAATTCACGTAGTAATTGGAACGACCATAAAGGTGTAATAATAAACATAGGTGATCCGTACAAGCTTGGCCGGGGGAAGGCCCATAGGGCTCGCTAATTCCTCTCCGTTCTCCACCTCGTTGGTCGACAAAGAAAGGTGTCCCCTCCAACAAGGGGCGCCTATCTCTCTTACACCTTACAGTCATCGGCTCGCGGCCCTCCTGAGGTAGTCGACCTGCTGCTGGGCGAGGCGGGCGGGAGCAACCCAATCCGTTACCGATCCGATTTCTCTCTTGATGATAAGAGAAAGGCGGCTCTCGATAATCTCCGCGAGATAGCGTGTGGCGCGTACCGTTTAGACTCATCCGATTATATTTATTCTTCATATTTACCGGGTTTTTTTACCGGTGTTTTTGGTTGAGGCCAGTCACCTTTTATTTCTCTGTGACGAGCTCTAGAGTCGCGGAGGAGGAGAGTGAAGGGTGACGTGTGGAAGTGGACAATGCAGCCGCTACCTACGCTACCGTCTGAGCGTCCGCCCGTCTGTCTGTCTGTCTGTCTGTCTGTCTGTCTGTCTGTCTGTCTGCGGGGCGGGGACGATTGCCACTTATTCAATGAGGGACTGATGGATGGACAACAAAGGATGGCGTCATTGGGGGGGGGG